AATTTTTAAATGTCAATCAAATTGAATTCTTTAACAAAGCTACTGTTAGTTGTCTGAGTTCACTCAGGTCAACCACATTGAATAAAATCCACACTGAATGACTTAAGTTTAAACGGTGAAAGATGGTTGGATAATATTACTAGTAACTAAGTTGTTTACGGAATCAAATATGGCTGACCCAATTGAACTCTGAGGCTAATCGAAGGTGAAGATGGAGCTGATCTCTCGAGACAGATGATCAACGGTCCCTGAAATATTGTGAGGATGACCAAAAGCAGTTATATTTTTAAACGTTGCTCTAAGATAGAGTGCAACAGATGACAAGTGTGGAAAAAATTAAGGTAATGCACGAAAATTGCATGGAAAAAAAGGTGTAGGGTTAATGACGGCGACCTAATTCTCAGAAGTTCGAATATTTTTTTCTAAGTTTTAATGAAGTAAAGTAAATGATAAATTTATGACAATAAAGGACAACATTCTGCCTTTCGACTGGCAAAACTTTTTCAGGAGTTTTTTTAATAAAAATCGAAGTTTTTAGAGTTTGAAACGAGGCACCAAGGAAATAATGGCGGCTCGTTACGTCCCTTCTCCCCTATTATACTATATGCCCGATTTTGCTAAGATTGTCTCAAGTCCCTGTGCCCTAGGGCTTGAGTAAAAATTATTCGATATTGGCAAATATTCGTTACTCAAACACGACTATATTTTGATAAAGTCACTGTTATTAATTTAAACATAAAGTGAAGTAAGAATATCCCTATTACCTCTCCCTCCTTCTTTGTTTGTTGTTTTTGTGCAGCCAACTTTTCCTGCTTTGCCTGAAACTTTGCAAGCTTTTCTTGCTTGGTTTTTTCTTTTTTCAATTCCTTCTCACTTTTGACACGTGGTAGGGATTCTCCATCCCCTCCTGCATTCTGGGGCAGACTATTGTCGCCCGACTTGTCGGCCATCCTGACGTATTTTAATCTGGTGTATGACTGAATCAGAAAAATAAAATAAGTAGGTCTATATTATTATTATTACACCGTGATTACATCATGATCACACTCCGGCATCCTTTCGTTTCATTGCCCTTAATTTTATGAATGCAGAGCCCGATCTAAAATATTTTTTCGCTCGCCTGGCTACAACGAGGGAACTTTAACTTGATTATACCAGTGACGTATAATACTTGTTACACGTCACTGTTTATACATAGCAGAAAATTTACATGTATTGAGTTTTTAAACTGCATCATTTAGTTTTATTTACCAAAGGGTTCCAATTCAAGACCGTTAGCAAAAAAGGTGAATGCGTTGAGTGCGACCGCACCCCAGTTTAAAAAAAAAATATCCAAAATTTTATATTTGACACAAAATTACAATGCACTTCAATATTATTTTTTATTATTTGAAGGAATGCTTAGATTTTGTTTATTAAAATGTGAAAAATGTTTTTGTATTTTGTTGTTGTTGAACATTGTGTTCGGGAATATTTTTTAAACAGTTAACATTCAACACCATCAGTCTGATGTTGCCAAGTAATGCTGATTACAAACAGCATTTTGCTTGTAAAAACAAATTTAAATATGATGAAAGTTACTAAATACTATTCACAACTCATTAGTCAGCCATCGCAGGGATAAGGGTGTCTCCTCCTCTGTTTAGACGTAGTTGACCAAGACAATCTCTTCCAGAGGGCACTCTGCAAGCTTCACTTTTTTCTAAATAATAATGTAACGTTTGAGTAAACGTCTTTGACAAGATAAAAGGGCGGATTCAGAAGGGGTGATCCAGGGGATTCGGACTTACGAAAATCTTAAAATCAATGAAAGTTGTCATAAAGATAAAATTTAATAGAAAAATGTAAAACTGGCTACAGAATGTTACGTATATGTCGCCCGCGTGGCGCAGTGGTTAGAGTGTTCTAGATCTAAAGTCGCGGTGTAAGGACTGAGTTGATCCTTACGTTGCGGGTTCGAATCCCACTGCGGGACATGGAGACCGGTCCTTCGGATGAGACTGTATAAACCGAGGTCCCGTGTCGCAGTAGGTGCTGGCACGAAAAAGATCCCTCACTGCTCAATGGCCTGGAGTGCCGAATATAGGTCAAAATGTGCGGCCCTCCACCGGCAAGTGGTGGCGTCTCCATATCAATGAAAAATTCTTGTGAGGGACGTTAAACAATAAACAAATAAACGTACTAAAACCAAAGTAGTGTAAATGGGGTGTAGAGTTAATGTAGGGGGTTTTGAAAACTGCCTATAAACGTTTATGTGGCGAAACCCCCACCTTCATAAAATCCTAGATCAGCCTTATGTGATCGGCTACTGACTTTGGATGGAATTATATATGCTACGTGAATTTGAACTTGGATAATTAAACCGGCTTTGCGTTTTTTCTGTTTAATTGACAAAATAATGAACCTGCATGCATGGGATTATTTGAACCCCAAACCCTCCGATCCCATGCAGAAAAACTATCAAGACATGAGGGTAAAAGTGACCAAATCGGCTATAGATACGTGTACAAATAAATGCTGAAAACATTTTTTTTCCTTTAACAAAATTTTGATTTCCTAATGCTTTAAAACATTATCACAGAAAAGGAAAAATAAAATTCACTGCCTGACTCTCTAGGCTTTTTTTTTAAGCATGGGAAGAAATTCTGTGGATTTTCTCCGGTGTTGCTTTAGACTGAATTCAATCAAAGCGCAATTAACGCTAATCTTTGTATTACCCATGAGAGTGATGCGAGACAAATGATGGCAGCACTGTTGAGGGAAGGATCCAACATTTTTTTCAGATTTAAAATTAAAGCTTTAAAGAACAATATAATATAAGGCCTTTCATTGGAGGGGGGGGGGGGAGATTACAATTTCCTACGTGCTCAATAATAATAACGAGTTTAAAATGAAACATATAATTATAGAAAATAAACGAGTAAACGATAAACAAATTAAAATAAAAAGGAAATTAAATTCCATGTTTGAGTTTGTAACCCTTATTTTTTTTTTTTTCTAGAAAGTATAAGCGTATCACAGGTTACTAATTTTATCCCTTTTCATTGACCACGCAAGTAGTGCCATATAAAAACAGGTTTTTTCATAAATATGTCTTCGGATGTATACGGGGTGGAATGGGCTGATTTTAGGGCATAGATGGAAAGGAGAGTGTCTGGGGGAAAAGAATTAAAATTTCAAACATTGAGAAATATTGCCTTTGAATGCGTAGTAGGAAGGGTGTAAATAGGCCATGTTTACCTTCTTCTCAAGGGGTAAGTTAAATATGCAGGGTATGGGGTAACTCACGGTGTCTTAGAGGGACTTGTACACTATAGATTCTCCTTAGATTTAAAAATATTTTAAGGCTATAATAAAGAAGAAATCGCTAATTTTCAAGATAAATTTAATTAATTCTAAATAAAATTTAAATAAATTCCACATGCAAAAAGGTAGAAGAACGCGTGGTAGCAAAATCATATTGAGCATATTAAAGGAAATAAATGCTATAATTATCAATGACATCCGAGGAAAATATTTGTAAAAGTATTTTTTTTTTCTTAGATCCACCTCTACAAGATTCTGCCATAAATTGTCTCGAATCACTCTTAGGGGAATATCGGTGATTAGCGTTAATAGCACTTGTATTGAGTTCAGCTCATAGCTAAACCGGACGGGATTTCTTGGGATGCTAAACTTGTCCAATTTTACCCTGTACTTACAAACAAATTTATGACAAACGAAGGGTAGTATACTTAATTTTTAAATGTCTTTCTTCCTTATTCTTATTACGAAATTCTGTTTTACATAATTATTTACATGTATATGGAATTTTTCGTTTAAAACCGCGGAACTTTCGCGTTATAGCGCGAAGGATTGGCGTCTTTTCCAGAAATTATATACTAGTACATGTACCGCGAAAGTTTTGCGTTATATCTTGAATGTTAAACGCGTTATAATGCAACAGATACGCGTTATATTTCACGAAGGTTTCACGTTAAATAACATGTGTCATGCAAAAAAAAAATAATAATAAAAAATAAAAAAAAAGTTACCAAAGTCAGCACAGTGGGCTTTTTACTGACAAGAAGAAAAAAAATGCCAGAAGTCTAAGAAGATATTCTTTTTCTTGAGGGGTGGGGGGTGGGGGTTAGGATCCAACTTCACACTTTTTTTCAGATAAAATAATTATCCGCTTAATTTTGGCCTATAGATAGTTTTATAGACGCGATTTTAGCGTCTACCATATTGGGTGGTCAACAAGCCCAGATTCCTTAATTATTCAACCACCCAATTTAGCTCGCTCCGTGATCGGAAGGTCGTGTGTTCGAATCACGGCCGCGACTGACCTAAGTCGATAAAAAATAGGTGCAACTGTTCCTTCGCCAGGCGCTCGATCGGCACTTTAATGTGACAGTTGCGGGTCCTTCGGATGAGACCTTAAAAACCGAGGCCCCATGTCACGGTATATAGGCGTTGGCACGATAAAGAACCCTCACTGCTCAATGGCCCTAAGTGTCGAGTAAAGGTCTAAATTTGAAGCCCTTCACCGGTATATGGTGAGGTCTCTATATGAGTGAAAAAATCTCTAATGGGATGTAAAACAACATACAATCAATCAATCAACCAATTTATATTTGTCATACTGGGCAATGAGGTGAAGATAACGAAGTTTTTATTAATTACGAATAGATGTTAACAAAAGCTTCCTTTAATTCATAATTTAAGTATTTTAAAGATTTTTCCCCCTATATTTCTACCACACATGTTTAAAATTGGTTGCTCAAAGAGTTTGGCCTCCAAGATGGCGGGCAAGGGAAATAATTCGGAGGAAAAATACGTCATACGAAACTATCTATAATGTAAATCCAAAAAGAGACATCTTGAACTGAAATATCACATAATAGTCATTTTCTTCAAGATATCGAGGAATTAATACAAAAAATTCACTGATAGCATGTTACAATATATTTTGATTTGCTGTACCACAAGTTCTGGTTGGACGAAAACGCAGTGGAGCGAAATATATCGTTACCTATCTCGTCTGTCGCGAGATTACACGCGTGCATCGACTGTATTCACTTCCGGTGAATATATTTTGATCGTGTGCATGTAAAATATGCGTTATCCATACAGAAGTAAGCATGCTTGGGGACCAGTGAACATTTTATTAACGGTAAAATCATTTTTTTTTTTATTTGCATGCATGTAATTTTCAAATTTAAGTTGTCAAATCGATCCATTCCGGAGTGTGTTTCAATCACATATGTTCTATGACAACCGGGTAACGTGTCAATCAAACCATCAGTTAATATCTGTACACTTATGTTTGATAAGGTGTCCTTCAATTATGTGGTGGATATAAGTAAATATGTAAGATTAGAGTCTTCACGAACATCTCTTATGCTATTCTTTAAAATGTTTACACTGGTTTCATTATGATGTACATGTCCAGCACAATCTCTTGATTTAGCTATATAGCGTGAATTAGCTATATAGAATTAGCTATATAGCTTAAATTAGCTATATAGATTTAGCTATATAGCTCTCTTAAGCTATTCAAAAGAGCTTGATAAAGCTATTTGTGTGCAGTTTTTTTACAAAAATGTTTAATGTAAGAAATAGACAAAAAGTTGCAAGTATTTGACTTTGTACTATGGGCTATCAAAAAAGCAATCCAAATCAAATGTGGTTTCTTTCATTGCAGCTTTTGAATACTTTTAAGCAAAAGATGTATTTCCATTACAGGGTTAGAAACTCCCTAAAGTTACAACTTGCAAATAATTGCGAGTACCAAGAAAGTGAACTCGCAATTTTATAAGACTACTCACAATTTTCATATAAGGTTAAAATTTATATAAATTAAATACATGTAACTTAAGGAAAAAGTAACTACTGTACAATACACAAAATACAACTACAGTGTGACTTTTATTTAAATTAATGATTTAAATCAAAAGCATTGTGTTCTGTCATATTATATAATTTTGCTACAGTTTCAATGCAAAAAAAATCAACTCGCAAGTTTTTGCGAGTTACCTAATTTTTAACTCGCAATTTGGAAATTCTAACTCGCATTTTGCGAGTTGTATATAGTGAATTTCGAACCCTGCATTATATTTTGGATAACTGTCCACCACCTTATGTGCATTGAGCAGGTTGGGCACACACCACCAAATGGTCATTTAACCCACGTTTGGTGGTCAATCGCCCATTTCGGAGTCGGTATTTATTGACATTTGGGAGAGAAAAATCGTTTTGTTCAATCCATGGAATGGCATGAAATGGTGCATAATTTTAACTCGTGGGGAATAAAATGTAGACAATTATTGGTGCTCTAAACGGAAAAAATTGGAAATTCAACGCAGCGTTTTTTGGGCAGTATTGTTCAAATATTTGACAAAATGGTTCACCAATGTAAAAAAGTGCAATGTTTCTCCGTTTTAATTAAAAAGAAAAATTCCCTCCTTCCCGAACGTTGTTGCACTTGTCAATCGTGTTTCTTACTTTCTATTTCTATCATCCGGGCAACCAGTCAAATAATTTAATCCAATAAAAAATGATGGTCTTTTTCAAACCTGGTCAAAAGTCTGATTTAACTACGGAGGCACTTTAGTGTTAATTGTCAATTAGGAAATAAAAGAAAAGAGAAGAATTTGCTTTTGTTTCATTTTATTTTGTACCCGATGGCTTTATTCTTTATAAAAATAGGATATACAATGAGATCATGATATAATTATTGCTTCAAAATGATGTTCTTGGAATAAAAACAAGAATAATTTCAACTGTTACTTTGTTAATCTTTCATTCAAAATCATCGATTAAATATAGTAGATTTATCATAAATATGCATAGTAAACCACAAAAGGTCACACAGAAATCGCAACCTCATACTAATAAAAAGAAAATAATAAATAAATGTTACATTCGAATGTATAAAAAATGAATTTTATAGCAATAAGTGCCCACCATACCAATAATGCATGAGGAGCTCGTGTTTAACGGGATTTTATAGAGATTTATTTAGACGAAGATCCAAAGATCGATTGAAAGTTAACTTCTACAGAGTTAAACCATTAGTCTAAATAAAATTTTATCCAACTAGACACAAAAAAATATTTTTTAGGATTGATTAAGCAAGAAGTTTGGCCATCACAGACAGCTGTATGTATCGTTTTTACGAAGTTCCACAGAAATTACACATGGAAAATCTACCGAACTGTATTAATTGTGCAAGGAATATGTTAACTAAAATTCCCTGATGCCCATGCCAATGCGCATTTGTATTATTTCAATAAAAATAGGATTTGAATAAAAAAGACCACATTTGGTCAGTAAAACCGACTCCGATATGGGTGAATGACCACCAAACGGGGGTTAAATGACCATTTGGTGGTGTGTGCCCAACCTGTTGAGGCATGGATAAGTATGATTGCTTCACATTGTGCTGAATTTTTACCAATCAATTATCTTGTTGACTATAATTGAGCTCCTTTATAATTTCATTCAAGAAGTAACTGTGTGGTCACAAATCAATTGCATTATATAGCCCCCAAACTTATAGAACTTTGAGTACAAAGTCTCTCAAGGAAACACAATTTGATGAGTGATTTTTACATGCATTGTTTTCAGAAGAGTTCAAAAAAATGTTTCCTCTGTAAAAGTTTCCTATGTATTCCCATGCAAAACTTTTATTGCCCATTGAGGCCCCACCCTACCCCCGGGGGTCTTGATTTGAACAAACTAAATTCCACACTACATGAGGATGCTTCCATATAAATTTGACCAATCATGACTTTGCTCTTCTTGAGAAGAAGATTTTTAAGATAAATTATTAGTAAACAACCCTTCACTAATAGAAAGTAAAAGGAATAATTTTTACAAACGACTAGGTGTATGAAGCATATCTCAAATTCATGTATAAATTTCTTAATATTGATTATTCACATATGGATTTTTTTCCTCACTTTTTCAGATCAGCCTTTTGATTAAGGGGGCACTTAACGATGTAATATCTCTGAATGGTGCAAACATTGGAAGTGTTATAGGTATAACACATACTTCTAGTAAAAATATTTTCTTTCTTTAAATGAGCAATGTTAATAGGTATGGTTAAAAAAGTAAGCAATGAAATTCTCAGCTTGTTGATCAATTAACTAAAATTGCCTGGTTTTTTATTAAGTAAAAGAAAAAAAATGTGTGAGTTGACCCAGTATTTATTTTGAAATTTTCAGGTTCAAATGAGGTGGTGTTCATTAACTTTTATGCTGACTGGTAAGTCATTTTCAATTCTGCATGGTCAAAAACACACAGTTGTGTATAGCTGCAGAACTGTAGCTCTTTGCTTGAGAAAATTCAGACAGACAAAGCAGAGAGCTACAGATCCAAGCGTTGTAAAAACCTTCGATTTACGCCGCCGCTTTTTTGTCGCTCGCTTCAGGTATTATCTCTTGTATTTAATGCTTTCCCCCACTTTAAAAACAGTATCCGATAATTAACCATATATTTTACTCCTATTCCTGATACCTTATTTACCTTTCAACGGTTCCAGACGGTCATATGTGGTTTTTGAATATCAGTTAAAAAAAAAATGCATTCCGACGTTGACGTTTGTGTCATCCTTAAATAACATGCCCGAGTTTTATTTATTTCTTTTCTTTTTTACAAACGTATTGTATTCTTTGTAGACATTATACATGATACCTGAACCTCCTGAATTTCTCGTCAATTATATGTTTTTTGAAAGACATTTTTTTCACACGACCCCCAACATGGACGTCGGAATGGGATTTTTTTAAACCGACATTCCAAAACCATTAGGGGCTGATTGGGACCGTTGAAAGGTATATAAGGTATCGAGAATAGGAGTAAATATATGGTTAATTATCAGATACTATTTTTAAAGCGGGGGAACTCATAATATACAAGAGATAATACCCGAAGCGAGTGACAAAAACGTGGTGGCGTAAATCGAAGGTTTTTACAACGCTTGGATCTGTAGCTCTCTGCTTTGTCTACAGGTCCGAATTTTCTCAAGCAGAGAGCTACAGTTCTGCAGCTAAGTTGTGTATTGCTGCTTTTTTCTTCAAAATGCTATGTCTTTGAATGGTGATGTTACCATGTTTACTAATAAAGAATACGTAAAATTAATTTTGAAATGTTCTCTGGCTCTATGTTTCTGTCTAAAAATTTATTGAAAAAAATCTCACTAGTGCTAGTTTCAGCCCATTCATTTCTGGTATAAATTGATTGTTACTTCAATGAATACTTGCTAGCTGATGCTAAAAATATGTTGAAAATCAGAAATATAATATTACTTAAATAGTTTTAACAATTAATATGCTGCTAATACTATTTTGTATCTCTCTATTTAAAGAAAGGGAGTCTTTTTTGTAAGTTTAAAATGCAAAACTTAAAAAGAAATGTTGCTTAACCAAGAACATCTTTGTTCAGAATAAACACCTCAAGCATATAAAGTTACTGACTTATTTGACTCTTGTGGTTATATATTTTCATGTAATTGTTTTAATTTTGAATACAATGCCAGTTGTGTTATAAATTTAAGAATTGCTTTATTAATAGTATAGTCAAATTAATAAGGTAAACTTTGATATCTCGAACCTGGCGGGACTGAGGAAAAACTTCGAGATATCCGAGTGTTCGAGATATCGAAGTTGATGAATTTGGTACTGATATTGTTATGTTACATGTTCTATTAACAGGAAATTAACCCACCCACCCTTTCCACCACGTGCATAATTTAATTTAAGCGGTAAATGTTTCGGTTCGTACTTAGTGATATCTTTTTAAAAATACATTTGCATATACACTTACAATGCATATATTATTTTATTCAATGCTGCAACACTTACATTTTACAAATTTCGATCGCTTTCAATAGCGATAATGATAATCATGCTGGTTTCAGATTTTCTGATACCCGGATATGTGTTACGCTTTGTAAATGATAAACCGATCACTGTAGTAAGGATTAAGACAGAAACAGGAATTATCGTTCTACAATAAATTATTGAAATTGCCAATATGCATAAACAAAAGCAGACTTTGTTTCGATTGTATGAACTTTAAGTTTTCTTTTTACATCACTGTGAGATAATCTAACTATCCCCCAGGGTTGGCTACCAGGTCCTTCATTATATTGCCTTATCAGACATGATGTGTACTGAAGAATTAGATTTTTGGTACTGACTTTCATACTCAAAATAATGTCTTTAATTGTTTAATTTCTTGAGTTCAATATCACTTTGATGTGTTCAGTGTTTACTTTGATATGTAATAATGTGTATAAGCGTGTATTTTCGACAAATTTAAATTCCTATTACAGTAATTGTCCCCAGCCGCTGTTTCATTATGGTGTCATCATATCTCAGAGTGCGCATTTTATTAACACCTCCAAATCACCTGGCCTGCGTAATAGAATTTAACTACCATAAACAGCTTGGGGCTAATAAGGTGTGATTATCAGAAATGGTCCCATGAAGCCTGTGCTAGACCTAACGGAAACGTTCAACAGACCTAAATTAGCATAATGGGATTATTGTGTACTAAGGTGTGAATTTAGCGGAGCGAGAAATTTGTTGGACTTCGAGATAATGCATGTGTTTATAGCACTTGGGACCGTAAATCTACTTCGAGATAAGTGAGGTATTCGAGATTTCCGTGTTCGAGATACCAGGGTTTTTTTAAATCATAAATATAATAAAAACGGTCTTGATTCACTTCGAAATATCCGTGGTATTCGACATATCAGTGTTCGAGATACCAAAGTTTACCTGTAGTAGTGTTTACAATAGCCCCTGCCAGATTATGGTGTTTAGAACAAGATGAACTTTTTTTGGTGATATTGAAGATGTTTCTTTTTTTCAGGTGTAGATTTAGTCAGATTCTAGCTCCGGTCTTTGAAGAAGCATCTAATAAAGTAAAAGATGAATTTCCTGTAAGTTAATTAAGAAAGTGTTTGGAAAGATTCAAATTTAATGATTTCATATTTTATAGTACATATACAGTGTACATGTAATTTAACATTTAATTTCAGACTCCAGGGAAAATTGCTTTCGGCAAAGTAGATTGTGATTCAGAATGTAAGTAAAAATTGTTTTTGTAAGACTATGGAAGTTTTATATGGTTTAATGCTTGACTATCCTGTTGAGTAAACCAGGAAATTATGTTAGTGGTTATTATAGACAAGAGGTTGTTTCTTTATAATGCATAAGTGCATCCATGTAGCAAATCTTTTAAGAATAGGAGTGTATGTACAATTATCATGATTATTGTACACTGTTTATGAAATCTGCCTTTTTTCCCTTTTCATGATCTATACAGTAACAAGCTAATCTTCTTATAAGCTGTTACCTGTATGACATCTGCGATGACATTATTGTTTCTCCCCCCGTATAATTATATTGATTTTTTTTATGTTTTTAATATTTATTTAAAAGCAATTACTGTATTTGTTCTCTCACATCTTATTAGCTGATATAGCCAGCCAATATCATATATCGAAATATCCAACACTTAAACTGGTTCGCAATGGACAACTTATTAAGAAAGAATACAGAGGTCAAAGATCTGTGGATGCTTTGGTCCAGTTTGTCAAAGATCAAGTCAGAGATTCAGTTCAACAAATTGACTCATTGGATAAATTAGATGAATTAAATGTAAGTTGCAAAGATAATTTATGATTTTGATGAAGGAAGGAATGAAGTTGGTTAAAGTTAAAATGTGATCAAATCCTGGAGTAATTCATGTTCCCATGTACCTAAAATATTTTTTGAGAAAAATTGCTTTATTAGACTAATAATCTTAATTTGGTTTGTGAATGTTAAATACATGTAGCCCATGCTTATTTCTTGTAGGAAAAAAAGAGACACATAATTGGTTACTTTGCTGATGTAAACTCTGATAGTTATAGGTTATTTAATAAAGTAGCAAGCACTTTACGTGAAGATTGTGAATTCCATTCTGCAGTCGGGTAATTCTTATTTTATTTTATGCTCCATCAAATACTTAATCCATGTGAAAGCTATATGTCTATGATTTGAAACAATGATATTGATGCATGGAAAAAAAGAAAAGATTTTAAGTGCTAGACAAAAGATAAAATTCTAAGTGCATGTGTAATATTACTGTAAATAAGGAGGTCACATTTGTTAAATATTTGGTGTTTCATTCTATTACAGACCAGTTTCTGAGCCAGAGAGATCAATGGGAGACAGAGTTGTTTACAGAGCACCTCAGGTATAGTAGGAAAAAAAAGCATTGATTATTAAACACATACAGGTAACTCTCGATACCTCAAAGTCCGCGGGACTGAGGAAAAACTTCCGAGAGATCAAGAGTTCGAGTTTTCAAGAGTCTGGAATTTTCCGGGTTTGTGGACAGGTTTTAAAATTAGTCTTACCGGATGTAATGATTGTCATGCAGAGCTAACCTTTCACACATGGTTTTTACAAAACCACAATATTTTTTTAATTTAGATGAATATTTCATTAAACTGAGTAAAGTGAAAAATGTATATCGTCATTTCATGTATATCTATTTATTCTTTGTAATATGGACATCATACTATGCATTCATTACATGAAAACAACATTTTACAGTGTCGTACATAGCATTGACTATTCCAAACATGATCATTGAATGCAGTTCTTTGAGTATTTGTCCAATAATAGTCGTCATACTGATATTGAGGCTGTTTCTGCTTTTTCATATTTCATTTAACTATGGCACTGACTCGAAATAAAAATTAAATTAGTATTTTGTCTTTTAATCAATTACTACTTTTCACTGACACTGCGTCTCTAAATTATCGTAAGACAGTCGATGATGATTATTTTAATAGCATATAGACAAAATATGAATAATTATAAATCAATTATCACCTTGCAGCATAAGTGTCACCTAAATAAACATCCCGTTCCTCGAGACCCGCATCTTCTGCCTTGGGCCATTTAAATGTCCAGGTAAAGGTGCTAATTATATAACCTTGTATACACATAGCCACTTCGAGGTATCGAGGGTAAATTCTAATAGAATATGCATAGCTGGACTGCATTTTGACTTTGAGGGAACAAGGGTTTCGAGAGATCAAGAGTTCGAGAAATCAAGAGTAAATTTGCTTAGTTATATAGGGGGAAAATTCGTGACCGGAGACTCACTTCGAGCAATCAAGAACTTCAAGAGATCAAAGTTCAAGCCATCAAGAGTTACCTGTATACTGAAATAGAAACATGTGGATGTGGGGAAAGAGGATGGAGTGCTATATATCATACTAATTTTCTATTTAAAATAAATTTCAATATGAAAAGTACATTTTTAAAGTTTTAGAGAAATTTTGAGTGTATTTCTAAAACCTTTGTATTTTTTCAATTATGCAAACAAGTGTCATATCGAGTAGAATGTTTGATGTGCAGTTGTGGCTATGATATTAAGAGTAAAATCTCAAGTTTTTAGTAATGTACATTGTACTTACCTATGTAGATAATATTCTTGATTTCCTCCAGACAACCCACCAGGATATTGCCTATATTGGTAGTCTGACAGATTTTGATGGTCTCTTGCACTGGGCTCAGCAAAACTGTGTGCCCCTGGTCAGGGAGATTACATTTGATAATGCTGAGGTTGGTATATCATAATATATATGTCCACTGTATAAAAAACTAAATTCATTTTCTGTTGCAAGGTAACCTATCAACTTGTAAAAACATCTCTTACTTAATTTTATCTCCATGTGTATAATATATGGTAAGTGAACTTATATTGGTGAATATTGGTACAAGTTGGCTGTGAAAATGCACAAGCGTACAACAGCATGTTCGATATTGAACACTCATATTCAGAACATTTCGGGGCATACAGTAGTATACATTGCAAACTCACCGTTCTCTCACCAAGATATGAACACCAAAGTTCTTTAGACTTTTAGTTCTTTTTTATTATAGACTATTTATTACCTATATAATAACAGGCCATACTCAATTTTATCATTGTGTAAATAAAAGCTCATAATGTACCCTATCTACATGTAAAAACAGCTCATACTGTATCCTTTCTATATATAAATAACAGCTTATACTGAATTCTATCTACATGTCATAACAGCTCTTCTGTATCCTATCTACATTTAACAGCCATGCTGTATCCTATCTATTTATAAATAACAGCTTATACTGTATCCTAGTTATATGTACATGTAACATGGCCATAGAATCGGGGGAATACGGTGGAGGGGGAGGGGCTTGTCAAGGAAATATTTGGTAGTTGATAGTGCCCCCCCCCCCCCCAACTGAAAATGTATGGTTGTGCCCCCTCAAAGTGAAATTGCTTCCTACGGGCGTGTGTAAGCAACAGCTCATACTGAACCTTATCTATATGTAATAACAGCTCATATTGTATTCTATTTACATGTATATGTAAACAACAGCTCATACTCCTTATCTATATGTAATAACAGCTCATATTGTATTCTATTTATATGTAAACAACAGCTCATACTGAACCTTATCTATATGTAATAACAGCTCATATTGTATTCTATTTATATGTAAACAACAGCTCCTACTGAACCTCATTTATATGTAATAACAGCTCCTACTGAACCTTATCTATATGTAAATAACAGCTCATGCTGTATTCTTGCAGGAATTGACAGAAGAGGGATTACCATTTTTGATTCTGTTCCATCACCCAGATGACAAAGACATTGTTCAGAGATTCTCTAATGTTGTCCAACAACAGCTAAAGACTGAAAAATGTAAGAACAAGTCGACAATGCATTGTAATCTTTAGTAATTTACTAACTAATTTAATTTTCAGAAACTTTGAGCCAGACCACAATAAAAAAAAACTTAAGAATCCTTGTGTTACAGTGAACTTACATGGTATTACTATTTAGTTTTTATTCAGACTATGACCAGTAAGATTTTCTCTGATTTCAGCATCTGTAAATTTCCTGACTGCTGATGGTTTGAAGTTTAAGCACCCTCTTCATCATCTTGGTAAATCTGAGTCAGACCTTCCTGTCTTAGCGATTGACAGTTTCCGTCACATGTATTTGTTCCCACATGATGTTAAAAAAGATCTAGAGTGAGTAATCTTTTTTGTCAGAAAACCCAATCTTTTAAAGCTAAAGACACTATAACTTACGTTAAAAATAACTTACAGTTAAAAATAAAGTTGGGAATTTATTTTGATTACCAAATAAAGTTATGAAAATGCTGCAAACAACACAATTAAAATCCAACATGTTGTAAAGATGTCAAATTTTATTTATCTATTTTCCTATCAGGAAAGTAATGCCTCTATTTGAATTTATGTATCACCTGATAACATTGTTACTCTTAGATTGATAAACAAAAATGGCATCAAGAAAACAAAGTAGACTATTTGTTATACAATTAACTTTAACATGAATGTCAAACTTCTTACTCTTAATGATATCTACAACAACCAATATGGGTTAAATTGTTAGCAATATTTAATTTAAAGATCTCAAAACCCGAACTAATAATGCCAAAATTGAACCTTGCTAAAAATTCTGCATACAAGGTATGGTAAAAATCTTTAAAAAATCTTCTTCTCAAGAACAGCAATGCCCTGCTTAGTCATATTTATATGGAAGCATCCTCATGTGGTGTAGATTTAAAATTTGTTCAAATCATGACCCTGGGGGTAGGATGGGGCCACTATGGGGGATCAAAGTTTTACATAGAAATATTTAGGAAAAAAATCTTAATAAATCTTCTCAATAACAGCAATTTCATGATAAGTCATATTCATATGGAAGCATCCTCAGGTAGTGCAGATTCAAAATTGTTCAAATCATGACCCCTGGGCATAGGGTTGGGCCACAGTGGGGATCAATGTTTTACATAGGGACACATAGGAAAAAAACTTTAAAAGTCTTCTTCTCAAGAGCTTGAAAGCCATGATTGAACATAATGATCGGGAAGCATCTTCAGGTAGTGTAGATTTAATTTTGTTCAGATCATGATCACTGTGGGGGGGGGGGGGGGGGAGCAGAGTGGGGGATCAATCTTTTACATAGGAATAAATGGGGGGAAAAAATCTTGAAAAATCTTCTCAAGCACAGCAAAGCATTGATTAGTCATATTGATATGAAGGCATCCTGATGTTACATGTACCGGTAATTTAAATTCAAGTTTGTTTAAATCATGACAGGCCACAGTTGGGGATCAAAGTTTTGCATAGGAATATGTGAAAGAAAAAATTGTGACTGTTCAGATTGTTTATGCACTTCAGTCATCAATATTTATGAAAAGGCAACTGTTCTTAATTGCAGATAGTGCTTAATTGCTTTATAATTACAGTGACTTATTTAGTAAAATTTTGGGAAAGTTTTTTTTTTTTCATTATACAGCATGTTTCTCAAATCATTTTTTGACATAAAAATTTGGCATTTATTTTGGCATTTATATAGCTTAGATAGCTTTATTAAGGTTTCAAAGCTTCATTTTATGTTAGCAAAGTATTTTACATGAGTATCAGATGACTACTTTTGAAATATTTTATTCTTGTTCACAATACAAAAGAATATTATTTCAGAACACCAGGGTTTTTGTCCCAGTTCATAGCTGACCTACATTCAGGAAAACTTCATAGAGAATTCCACCATGGACCTGACCCCACAACTCCATATCCTACTCCCCCGCCCCCTGGGGTAAGTAACAGGAAAATAAACATTTTGAAAAAAATTGCTGCCCTAAAATTAATTTTTGAGAAAAAATTATTAAAGATTCCATTGTATAAGTTGGCATAGATGTATATGTAGGCATTAAAGAAATGGATATTTGTTGGAGGTAGAAAGGATTTGTGCATCCTAAATATATGTACATGAGTATATAGTTGGTAGTTGCTCTAAATATGAATTGTTCAGTACCTGAAAGCTGCACTCCCCATCTTAATTGGTAAACTAGAAATATGTCCATAGGACACGAATGCACTGCCCAGGATTCGTTAGTAATGCAACATGAAAATGTGTATCAGTGTATGAAGTGTGATGAAAATATCTTGAATAGTTTCTTTAAGTATAAGTTATATACACTTAATAAATAGTAAAGTAAAAGTTCACTGGGAAGGTCAAGGGGGAAAAAATGGGACAAAGTTAATTAATTCTCACTAAATATGCCTAATTTTCAGTGCATAAGCTTACATAAAAAATATCCTGAATGGTTTCTTTGAAATTGAGATAATCACATATTTTATTTAAGCAAGGTCAAGGTCAAAAGAGAGAAAGTAAAAAATCTTGATGCACTTGAATAGTTCTCATCAATATGTACATGTATCAGCATATGAAGTTTGATTAAAATATCTTGAATAGTTTCTTTGAAATTGAGATAATCAATAATTCACTTTAAGAAAGGTCAAAGGAAAGATCAAGGTCAAAAAATCTTGATGCACTTGAATAGCTCTCATCAATGTGTACATGTTTCAGCATATGAAGTTTGATAAAAATATCCTGAATAGTGTCTTTGAAACTTAGCTGAACACAAATTTAAGAAAAATGAAGTCAAGGTCAAGGTAATAAAAAGTTGATGAAGTTGAATACTAGTAGTTTTAACCAGTATATATCAGCATGCAAGGTTTGATAAAAATATATTTAATAGTTTCTTTGAGACTGAGCTAAATAATGATTTAAGAAAAGAGAGGTCAAGATCAAAGGAAAGGTCAAGGTCAAACAATAATGCAGTTAAATAGCTCTTATCAGTATGTATCAGCATATGAAGTTTGATAAAAGTATTTTGAATAGTTTCTATGAAACTGACCTAACACAAAGTGTGACAGAAGGATGGGAGGACAAACGGACAGAAGGATAGAGGACGGACATGACAAACACTATATGCACTGGCCATGTTCATGGCAGGGCATAAAAAAAATATATACATGTATATCTACTTTACTATATATTTCTATTGAAGATGTATTTTTAATAAGACCAATTTAGATGAGGGTTCCAATGATTTAATCTTTTAAAAAGGAATATGTTAATAGTATCCATTTCATATTACTCATATAACGTACTTTGTTTTCTGCTGTTCACATAATATACATGTATGTATTAAAAAATGTTTTGAAAATTTCAGTCTGATAATGCTGAAGAGAAACAGGAACAAAAAACTGACCATATCCCCCACGATGTCAACAGAGACAATGCCCCCAAACAGCCTACATCCCCTCCCGAGTCAACCTTCAGGAAACTTGCCCCCTCTAGAAATAGATATACGATTTTGAGGGATGAGTTATGATGAAGTTCTTAGGAGTGAAATTATTTCGTTTTTTAAGGATCAGTTATCAAAAACAATGCCATTTTAAATCAATACTGGACAAGTACACAAAAAGAATTCATTTTTTTTTTGTCCAACCATAAGCAAGACTCTGTTAAATACATTGTACAAGTGGATGTACAGTGTAAATGAATTTGCTAAACTGATCTCACGTAATCATTGCTGTTGAGTTCATGTATGGGATGCTTTCCTGTGACAAGGAATTAAGAATGAAGATATTTTTTGTTTCATCATGTTAAATTAAATTGTAGTTAATCTTTTCTACATGTATAATAGTCTAGGTTGAGGAGGGAGTTTATTAGAATTTTTTGGTCAGGTTTTGCTTTTATAATCCTGATATGTGCAGAGATTTTTGAATCTTGTTTCTTATTTAATTTTCAATGCTGTCCATCCATATCCAATACTTGTTTCATACATTACAAATTTACATGTACGTGTATGTAGACTGTATAATAAGTAATACTGTTTTAAGTGATCATTAAGTAGGATATAGGAAATATACATGTTATGTCTGTGAAAGTGTGTCTTTTGCAACATGTACACTGTCCATTTTCAAGGTACTGTAACAGAAAAAAAATACCAAATTATTATGTGTAAAACTATTCAGCTTGTTGGTATTGGTCGTTTGCATTTCCTTTTTATGCACCAGTTGATATGTCACAGAGTTTTGAATTTAATATGTACATCTTTTAATCATTATTTTTTCCTCCATACAATTTTTCATATTATATATTTCTCAGTCAATTTGTATCAAGGTTTGATAAAAATTGCCTGCTTCAAACAACAGAAAATCCACTTTCATTCTAAGCACTGTAAACAGAAAAGGTGGACTGAGTAAAATTTTCACCAACTTTTAGTAAAACATCTCTGCCAAACTATTCAAGATTTTAAACAAAGTTTACTTACAGTAAATAAGTACAAATTTACTGAAACTTCATCAGATGTTACATTTTGAATCATAAATACAAATTACAATGTACATGTATGTTAAATGTATGCCCCTTTATGTGGGTGAAATCATTTTTTAACTTTGTTCATTTTTTTAAATTATATTTAAAGAATGTCAAATGACATAATAAAATATTTTCTGAAAGTTTTCTTCAAATATTGATGTTCCTGAATATGGAGATTAACTTATTTCACAGAGTTTGATTTTATTTGTGGTATTCAGTAGTATCATATTCACCAGATGTGAATTAAAAAAAGATCGTACAAATTTCACAGTCCCTCCAGGAAATGGCTTATAAAACGTGGATCAATTTTTGTGTCAAATCAAAAGTATCTGTACTAATAAATTAATTAGAGATTTAAGTTTTTTTTTATCAGACTGGTCAGATGCAGAAACAGTTAACCTTACTTCTCCATTCATTATAAATACTGCATTGAAGTTTGATTATGTCGTATAAATATAATAAACATTATATTTCTATGAAAGTAAAAAAAAAAGCAAAATACTTGTAAATAAATACAATTTAAAATAAAGTCAAATGTAGCTGAATCTGAAATGCTATAAAGAGAGTTAATGTATGGAATGCCTTTCTGCATCAAATCTTTGACAAAAGGGATGAGTGTCCATGCTGCCGTCCATGTGGAAGACTCTGGATTCTATACTTGGTCTATTTTTTTTTTAGGTCACCTGAGTCACTCAGGTGACCTATTGCTATCTGTTTTCGTCTGTCATCGTGCGTCATCCGTCGTGCGTTAACTTTTGAACATTTTCAACTTCTCCAATACCGCTTAACCAATTTCAACCAATTTTGGCATATAGCATCTATGGGTGAAGGGGAACATAAGTTTTGAATTTCATGGTCCCTGCCCCCCTGGGGCCTGAGGGGTGGGGCTAAAACCACCAAAATTTGATGCAATCTTTAAAAATTTTCTTCTTTACTCCTGGACACCAAGCAGTCAAACTGTTGACATGATTGTAATAAGCATTGGGCCCTCTACCAAAATTATAAAATTCATGGCCCCAGGGTCAGGGGTTCTGGTGCTAGGGCGGAGCTATATAGATCATATAGTGAAATTGCATTATTTCTTTGAAAATCTTCTTCTCTGCTCCTGGGTATCATTAAAACAAACAAGTGCATATAGTTATGATAATCAATGATGCCTTTTCTAAAATTGTGAATTTCATGGCCCCTGGGTCAGGGGTTCTGGTGTTAGGGCAGGGTTCTATTGATTATATAGTGAAAATGCATTAATTCTTTGAAAATCTTCTCTGCTCCTGGGTATTATTTAAACTAAGTGCATGATTATGACAAGCAATGATGCCTTTTCAAAAATCATGAAATTCATGGCCCCAGGGTTTGGGGGGGGGGGGGGGGTTGTGTTATTGATAATGTAGTGAAAAAGCATAATTTCTTTGATAAGATATTGAAAATGCATTATTTCTGTTAAATAATCCTGTCTGTCCCTTATTGTTGAGCAGATAAACAAAGTGCATAGTTATGATGAACAATTGGGCTTCTTAATTTTTTTTTTTATAAAATATATAGTGAAAATGTGTTAATTCTCTGAAAATCTTCAACTAAGTGCATACTTATAATGACGAAGGTACCTCTACCAAATTTGTGAATTTCATGACTCTGGGGCATGGGTTTTAGTGTTAGGATAGGGCTGTGTTGATTCTGTAGTGAAAATGTATTATTTCTTTGAAAATCTTCTCTGCTCCTTGGCAAATCAAAGGCAAACAGAATAAAATTTTTAATAAGCAAGGATATTTTTACCAGATTTTTTAATATCAGCACCATTTGGTCAAGAGTTCTGGTCCTGGTCAGCGCTCTATTATTTTTTATTCTATTGAGAGAAGTTATTCCCCTTTGCCATTCACTTTTGATAATTAATCACTGTAAATAATGTACATATATTTGAAAGTCAATAGACTAAGAGAATTATGCAAAAAATATTATTGTATAATACACAAAGTACTTTCATAGTTTTAATGATCAGGTAGACTTGTAAATAATAAAAAATCAAAACAAGACAAAAATAATTATTAAATGTTCTTCAAAAACCAAGAGAGGTCGCAATATGGGGTTAAAAGTAGTACAGAAGAACTTATCTGCATTGTGATAGTGATAAATGGGGGATAGATTAGAATTTAATTTATGAGTTGTCACTGAATACTAGACTAATTATTTCGTTGATCCTGATCATCCTATTTCTCTTGCTTTTGGGCAACAAAGCTTCAACTATCAGTTTATTTTATACTCTGTTGTATTATACTCAGGTGACCCTTGGGCCTCTTGTTTAAGTAATGTAATAAACTTGCCATTAAACTATTTGCTTTTGACACTGGTCATGAGTTATGTAAATGGTTCAGCTATATCAAACCTGAGTTGCTGTCTTAAGTAAGACATCACATCAGGAATAGAGGAATGTACATTTGGTGTTAAATGTATCTACCAGGAAAAAAGTATTGATTTTGAGCTGAAGGTTCAAGTAACCATTAATTCCTTACTTTGTTTTGACCCCCTGCCGCAAAATGCACTAAAGGAGGGATTGGAAACGGCTTGAATTATATCAATGAATTTTAACATATTTAGCTAGTATTATCTTTTCTATCTATAGAATAAACTATAAAACATTATAAGTTATATGTTTAAATTGTTAATGCTTTTGTAAGCAATGACCAGGTAGCCCAACCTCAAAATACAACATATTTTCTACCTTAGTCTTATGAAACAAGATGTGTTTGTGAAACACTGATGTCCCCGTATGGCAATTTAAAGCTAAGGTTAAACTTTCTCAAATGCAAGTCAAATATGTTGCTACCCAAAGTAAGGTCTTGTCCAGATGGATTTTACCTGTGAACTATGAAAGCCCTAGCAACAACCATTGAAAAGATATGGAAGAGGTTAAAGTTTTTCAAAAGTGAGTCAAACATCAAGGTCAAATGGTCAAAATGAATGGTGCCCAAGGAAAGGCCTTATCACAAGAAATACAAATGTGAAATATGAAAGCCCTAGTACCAACCATTCAAAAGATATGGCCAAGGTTATAGTTTTTCAAATGTAGGTCAAACTCCAATGTCAAAGGGAAAAGTTGTTGGTATCCAAAGTAAGGTCTTGTCACAAGGATTACACATGTGAAGTATGAAACCCTAGTACCAACTGTTCAAAAGTAATGGCCAAGGTTAAAGTTTTTCAAAAGTAGGTCAAGGTCAAAGGGTCAATGTTGGTATCAAAATGAAGGTCTTGTCACAAGGATTACATATGTGAAGAACGAAAGCCCTAGCACCAATCGTTCAAAAGTTAAGGGCAAGGTAATGTTTTTCAAAAGCAAAAAACTCCTACGTCAAGGTCGAAGGGTTAAAGTTGTTGGTATCCAAAGGAAGGTTTTGTCACAAGGATTATACATGATGCATTATACATTATAGATGTATGACAGCCCTCACACCAACCGTTCAAAAGTTATGACCAAGGTTAAAGTTTTTCAAAAGTAGGTCAAGGTCAAATAGTCAATGTTGTTGGTATCCAAATAAAGGTCTTGTCACAAGGACTACATATGTGAAGAATGAAAGCCCTAGCACCAATCGTTCAAAAGTTATGGCCAAAGTTAAAGTTAAAATTTTGTAAAACTGTGTCAAACCCAAGGTCAAGGTCAAATATGATGGTACCCAATGAAAGGTCTTGACACAAGGTATATTTGTGAAATATGAAAGCCATTGCTCCAACCAATCAAAAGTTATGAGCAATGTTAAAGTTTTTGCTGACAAACAGACAGGGCAAAAACTATATTCCCCAGAATCTTCGATATGAGGGCATAAAAAAATTTTGATATGAGCATTTGTCATCCAATAATCACTCCTGTGGATGACAATTGTTTCAGAAAATTTGCATTTTTTACCTAGTTCTGTAAGTTCTATAAAATCTAAATTTTATATGAAATTCCCAAACAATTAAAGGGTTAAAAATGATGCCAGAAGGGGGATGATGTCTTTTCCCCACATTCTATGAAGTTTCACCCATTGAAAAACTGGCATAGACCTAGAAACTGTTTAAACAAGATACAAAGAAAAACAAGAGGCCCATGGGCCACAACACTCACCTGAGTAACTGCCATTGTTCTTTACCAGATTTCCCCCTTGTAATACTCATTGTGGCCCCACCCTACCCCTGGGGGTCATGATTTGAAAAATTTAGAATCTACAATAACCCAGGATGCTTCCATGTAAGCTTTTCTGTCCCAGTGGTTCTTGAGAAGAAGATTTTTCCTATATATTTTAATGTAAAACTTGGATTTCCTATTGTTGCCCCACCCTACCCCCTGGGACCATGACTTGAACAATCTACACTACCCCAGGATGCTTCCAAATAAGTTTCAGCTTTTCTGGCCTAGTGTTTTTTTTAATGACCCCACCCCATTTTGTCTTTTTTTGATTATCTCCCCTTGGAAAGGGGCTTGGTCCTTCATTTTAACAATTTTAAATTCCCTTTTACCCGAGGATGCTTTGTACCAACTTTGGTTAAAATTGGCCCAGTGGTTCTTGAGAAGAAGATGAAAATGTGAAAAGTTTACAGACAAATGGAAGGACAGACGGATGGACGACGGACAACAGGTGATCAGAAAAGCTCATGTAAGTTTCAGCTCAGGTGAGCTAAAAAAGCATCCAGAATACATTTTTATATGCCAAAAAAGATTCAGAGGAAAGATGCACATTAAAGGTCATATGCAACATACATGTACCTCACAACATACAACTTACATTACCTCTTGAATTTTAAATCAGATGTTCTTTGACAAAAAATCAGCAAGCCATACATTACCTGGGGTTTGAAGTAGATATTAAATAATGAAAATCCTTTTCTTTTTGAAAGAAAAATTACCAAACATACAGTTTTAGCTGATATTTCCTCAAAATTTTTTTTAGAGGAGGTGTAATGCATCATTAGGCATGATAAAAATTGCACTAAGGTCCTTCATTTATTGAAATTTTTCATTTATTAAGAAAATAAGAGAAAATTTGAAAACTATGTTGCTTATGTGTTTATGTCAATTTGTATTTCGGGTGTCTAAAGTCAGTAACATCAAAAAGTGATGTTACTCATGTGGGGTAGACATTGAACAAGCAAATGCTAGCATAATCAAGTG